ATATATATATATATATATATATATATATATATATATATATATATATATATATATATGTATGTATGTATGTATGTATATATATTCTGTTAACACTGGCATCAATAACCTTGATCACAGGACTTATCATAAACTTTAGTAGATAAGATAAAGCAGGAAAGACTCTTTGGTATCATTAACCTGTCAGAAAACAGATTAATCAAGCTGTTTATCAGGTTATGCTGGCCTATAAACATCGATCTTTATCAGCATTAAAACACAGTTATTGCAGAACAGCTCTAATATTAAAAGTACTTCTAAATAACCTCTATATAGTCACAGATATTAAAGAGCTTCAGACTTATGGGTGATTCTAGACAGTGGCCACCAGGGGTCAGTGCCTCTGTAGAAATGGTCCTGGCTACTGTTATGGCCGCTCTAGTGAAGACATGACACCAAATCATATAAGGATATGCTTTTTTAGTTCGCAGGTTTTCTTTAATGTTGATTTAGAAATAAAGTTGTTGAAAGTTTAGCCTAAGCTGTACTGGGATAGGGTCACACAACTTATGCTAGATCAGGCTCCCCAGAGCTGTAAATGGCGTTTTAGCTCACATGTAATACATAATGATATATCAAATAATGAACTATTCCTCTTTTTTGTGGTTGTTTTTCTTAAAAAAACAAAAAAACAAAACAAAAAAAACACTAACCCCAGCCTGGTCATCAATCTGTGCTCTATTATTTTTGAACAATTTACAGCCATAGCCCATTTTTTAATGGTCTCACCTTTTATATTAAAGGTACAATGTTTAACTTATTTGGTTTTTAATTAGGAAAAAAAACTCAAATGTTGGTTTTATAATACATGTTCTTCCAAAGTCTAACAACATCCCATTTTAAATTGATGTATTCTAGTAACTTTGAATGTGTAGGTCAAAGAAATACATATCATTAGGTGCACAAACCATATTGTGTCATCTATATGTACCTTCAACAAAAATATAAACGTATCACTTTTGGTTTTGCTCCCTTTTTTATGAGATTAACTCAAAGATATAAAAGTTTTACACACAATATAACCATTTTCCTCAAATATTGTTTACAAACCAAGTCTGCAGCTAAAAATCTTTTGAACACCATTGAACTTCTGCGTTCTGCTCTTCAAGTTTAAGTCACCAATGTAAACACTTCTCCAGACGCCACGCTAGATGGCGCTGAAGCTCCACGCAGCGACAAAAGCAGACACACTGCACTGTCTTGTAAATTCTCGTTGACTTACTGTACCAAAAGGTGACGAATGATGGAAGGAAGCAAATTTTATTAGCAAATATATTGAAATAGATGCGATTCATTTATTAATACGGATGAATTTAACCTTTAATCTACAGAGCTCCAGATGAATGTCTCAAAACGAGTTATCTCTTAAAATAACATGAACATTTAGGCAGATCGTTTCAGTATGTGCGCCGAATGAGAGGTGGTTCGTTTATGAGTAAATTCTGCAAGTTTTTCTTTCAACTTTTAAAGAAGCTGATTAATTTTCTCATAATGAGAAGACTTTTAACGAGAATTATAAACAGAGTTCTGCTGAGCGGACAAATAACAGCAGCGATGAGAGGAGCTGAAGCAGAGATTCATACAGAAGGACGAAGAAAGTTGGTGAGTTGAATCCCTCATCCTTTATTCAGTCTGATGCCGTTTGAATAAACACCTATTTTTAAATCAGTAAATGTTCCGGTGAAGGTTGTCGAACGGTCTCACCAAACTTTAAACAAAAATCAAACAATTTAGTATTTTTTGTTCTTTATTTCTTCTTTAAGTTTAGCTGAGGTAAATCTGGAATTAAGACATTCCATTCATTCATTCGGCATTATTAGTTCTCTTGGTTTCTTTCATTTAATGACATTTATAGTAGAGTTAGGTTCTAATACAATATCGTCACTAAGAACCTTTAAACAACCACTGGAGCCCCGATCAATCCATCGTCTGAGCATTGAGAGGAAGGATCAGCTGCACAACCACCAAGATATGGAGCTTCACTTAAACCCACAGGCGGGGCAAGGAGAGCCTTCATCGTTGAAGCAGCTTAGGGTACCAGCAGCAGCTCCCTCTGGGGGAGCTGCAGAGATCCACAGCTCAGGTGGAAGAGTCTGATATAAGGAGAGCTTTAAATAGGGACTCCATTGGATTTGTATTGAATAAAACAACTGGAGCTGGTGCTTTGCTCATATGACACCAAAAATAATTGTTTCTGCCTTTGCACAGACATCTGCCATCCAACCAAATAACATTGGAGATGCACTGTAGGGGAAAATGAGTGAAGCTGCATAAAGGCAGGCTTGCTAAGCTACTGACATCATATTTAAAAAGACTTCAGGTTGTAATGCAACAAAATATTGAACAAAAACTATAAAATATTTCTTAAATTTTGTTAATATGTTCCCTATTTTGATAAAGCTGCAATATTGTTTTACAAATATATACTGTAATGGAATCCATTGAATTTTGAGGACATTTGCATTTTTGTTTGGAAATAATTCTGTAACATTTAAATGTAAAAAAAGTGCAGCCCTGTAAATATGTTGAATTGGCCTAATCCAAGCCCTGACCTTAATGTTTGCAAAGTTATCCACATCCTATTTAAATGGCTTATTGCATTCACCAAAGAAAAAAATAATCAGACGGTTTATCTCATAATAGATACTGATCTCGTAATTATGAGAAAATATCTCATAATAACGAGATCTTATCTATATATTTGGTTATGATTACTTGAGCCACTAATGAATTGGTCTTCATGATTACTTTTAAAAAATATCTGCATCCTTTCCACTGAACAGTTCTCTGTACCGAGGACCTGATACGCTTTGGAGCTCTGCTCCTGTGTTTCACTTCATCAATAAAGTATGCAGCTATAACCCTGGGATTACTACATGTGGAGTAAGCATGCAGCCATATGCAATAAGCAAAAATCCATCAACAGCTCTATTAACACAGATTCCGTATGGTTTCAGTTTTTCATATGAATTGACATGGAGCATGAAGTTGGGACCTGGTTGTTTTAAACGATTCTGAAGCCTCAGCTGTTCTCTTTGAGGATCTAAGATTTTGAAAAGATACCAGCTTACATTTATTTGGGAAACCACTAAGCCAGCTGGAATGCATTTCAGATGCATTCATTTATAACCATAAAGCATCCCGTGCTGGTTTAATTGCTCCTACAGGAACAGTGCGAACAGTCAGAGTGGGCTTTCTCACCTAAACAATTTTAAGGACTTACTAAGAAATACTGACAAACTCAAACTAATTCCATACACATTGAGGAAACTCAGTATTTCCCAGTGTTGCAAACCTAAAAGTAAATAAAAGCATCTGACAACCCACTCATTGTTCACGTTTCATGTAGCGTAGCTCGGCAATGACTCTCCTTCCTGATCTCCTAAATACGACATATTATCTCGACATTAAATCTTGTAATTATGAGAATGGATCTAATCACATTGAAATCAGGATCTCTTAATTACAAGATAATATCTCCTAATTACGAGATACTGATCTCATAGTTATGAGATAAACTGTCAGATTTTTTTTTCCTTTGGTGAATGCAATACGCTTCAGTAGTTATAAATATTCAGCAGCTTCTGCCTTTCTGCTTTCAGTAGAAACCTTTTATCAAAACCATGTTATGTTTTCCTTCCAACTCACAGCTATGCCTCTACTGTCTGAAGAGATTTAACTATAAATCCCCAGAAAGGACATAGATCTTTAATGGTCCAAATATATATATATAAAAATGACTCTGAAGCCAAATGACATCTAGGGGAGTTTTATTCTGGATAGTTATATTTAGAAGCATTTTTCTAGACATTAAATTAACCTTACAGGACTGCTCTGTGGAAAACTACAAACTCAGTTTCAAAAGAAATTAGATCTTTATATATATTTTTTTATTTGTTAGCTTATGTAAAGTTTTTTTTAGTAAAAAGATTTAGATTTTGAAAGATATATTTGAAGTAATATTTTAAAAACATTTTTAAAAAGTCTTAAGGTGAATGCATTATGTGTGTGGTCAAATAAAAAAAAAAGACAAGCTTTCACGGTTCTAACTGAAAGAAAAAACATTTTATAGTTTTATTAATAATAAAATATGTAAAGAGAGAAATGTTTTTTTTTTAATAAAGTAAAAAAAAGTGATTATTTAGAGCCACAGTCTGTTTTTTAGGTGATTTTTGCAGACTGATGATAGATGCGACTAAAGACAGAACTGATATAACAGTCTGTGTTTTAGGTGGTGGGCCTGGGGAACCCTGGGATGGAGGGTACCAGACACAGCGTGGGGATGGCGGTCCTCGGAGCGCTCGCCGCTCGGCTCGGTATGGCCAACCGTTGGCGCGGCGACAGTCACGTATCCGGTGAGGTCATCCTGACGGAGGTCCAGCATACCCGCGTGGTTCTGCTCCGCCCGAGGCTGCTGATGAACATCAACGGGGTGTCTGTGGCCAAAGCGGGTGAGGTCATCAGCGGCCATGTCAATGGGCTCGTTTAGTGCTCCTTTCTGATTGTTCTGTTCAGGTCACAGTTGAACTCAACACTGGAAAAACACCAGAAATTCAGCATCTTGCCGTGGAATCAGATTAGATTTTCTTTCTTTCCTTTAAATTTTTAAAAACATCTCTGCTGATTCTCCGTAGACATCATCACAGTTTGCAGACTTTAAGCTGTTAGATTTTAAAACAAGATTTTAAAGGGATTCAATTTGTGATCAGAAGTGGTTATTACATTTTATCAGTTCCTAAGTGCGAGACAAGATCATCTCATCTTTTCTAATTCACTTCTTTCATCAGTTTTCATGTTTTTTTGACCAGAAGAAAATGTTTTTATTATTATTATTTCAGGTAGTATTTTGTAAATGAGGCAGATTCACAGAAATTAACTTTAAATTGTTTTTGGGTTTTTATTTAGCTGGTAAATATGGCATCAAACCTGAGGACGTCCTGCTGGTGCATGACGAAATGGACAAACCTTTGGGGAAAATCGCCATCAAACATGGAGGAAGTGCCAGGTAGGTTTTTTTCCTAGTAGTTTCTTACCCCCAGATTCCACATCCTCCGCCCCGGCCCGTCTCGCCCCGCTCACGTACGTCCTGTGCAGCACTTGCGCTGTCATGTTAATCAATGAGAGCTGTTTCACATCCACTGCTACTCTTCCGTACGTCACCGTCCACGTACGTCTTATCCATCCTTCACTGTCAAAATTAGGAGCCAAGCTATACTCTTCTCCTCTCTGGTCCGTTGGAAGCTGGCCAGGTCAACATCCGCAATTGCAATCACACCAAACAGGAAAAGAACGTTAAGAAGATCTGGCTTGTCAAAGTGAAATAAAGTAACGATAGATCAGTAACTACTAATTAGAGCATCATTTTTATATATTCCCCAAAAAGAAGGATGATTGATTGGTTCAAACTATTGGTGCTTCAACATAACAGGAAGGAGATTTGTACGACGGAGTATTAGAGCCAGGCTAGAGATTTACATTTTTTTTTTTTTGAGAATAAAGTTGTAATATTACAAGAATAAAGTCCTAACATTACGAGAATAAAGTTGTAATATTGCGAGAACGAAGTCCTAATATTACGAGAATAAAGTTGTAATATTGCGAGAACGAAGTCCTAATATTACGAGAATGAAGTCGTAACACTATGAGAATAAAGTTGTAATATTACAAGAATATAGTCGTAACGTTACGAGAATAAAGTCGTAACATTACGAGAATAAAGTCATCATATTACGAGAATAAAGTTGTAATATTACAAGAATAAAGTCATAACGTTACGAGAATAAAGTCGTAACATTACGAGAATAAAGTTGTAATATTACGAGAATAAAGTCGTAACATTACGAGAATAAGGCCGTTATATTACGAGAATAAAGTTGTAATATTACAAGAATAAAGTTGTAACACTATGAGAATAAAGTTTTAATATTACAAGAATATAGTCGTAATATTATGAGAATAAAGTCATAACATTACCAGAATAAAGTCGTAATATTACGAGAATAAAGTTGTAATATTACCAGAATAAAATTGTAATATTACAAGAATAAAGTCGTAACGTTACGAGAATAAAGTCGTAACATTACGAGAATAACGTTGTAAATTACGAGAATAAAGTTGTAAATTACGAGAATAAAGTTGTAAATTACGAGAATAAAGTTGTAAATTACAAGAATAAAGTTGTAAATTACGAGAATAAAGTTGTAAATTACGAGAATAAAGTTGTAAATTACGAGAATAAAGTCGTAACATTACGAGAATAAAGTCGTAACATTACGAGAA